TCAGTTGCATTTTAGCTTCTCTTTGATGAAACTAGCTAATTTTCCTTTTCCTTTTTCTCTCGCATGATGAATTAAGTCGGTTGCATTCCCCAGCTTGGAAAAAATGACCATCTCCCACTTGAAAAACTTGACAACCATATGACATAACCAATTTCATGCAAATTCTTTTTGCAAATTAAAGTCAGTGGAAGTCATTTGCTGTGAGAATTTAATGAGTATTTTGCCATCTAAGAATATACTGTTAAGTTTCTAGACGTCATTGGAGGAGTTAAGAATATATGATTGTGGTTTGCTAGAAGCAGTATTTAAACTTGGAGAAATCAACGGGAACCAAAGATTTGTTGTGATAGACACCCAGTTCAAAGTATTAGATATTCAGAGACTGCCAAGGTTGAAGCATGTGTGGAAGAACGATCCCAAAAGAATTCTCACCTTTTCATGACCTAGAATCAGTGTGTGTTTCCTGGTGTAAGGGTCTTGGTTATTTATTTCCAGCTTCAATAGGCAAAGGGCTTTTGCAACTCTAAACACTAAATATAACATATAGTGGTTTGGAAGAAATCGTTGCGATGGAAGGAGGACCAAAAGCTGCTATTAAGTTCGGGTTTCCTCAAGTGTCCTTACGCCTCTATAGCCTACCAAAACTTACATATTTTTACTAGGGAAAAATAGTACAGGGTGGCCAATTGTAAAGAAGTTCTACATTTTTTTGTTGCGGCCAAATGAAGAAAACCAATGGGCAAGGCCAACTAGTATTTCCACTAACGATTAGGAATTCGGTTTCTCCTAAATAAGATTTCGAGTTCAAATTTTATAAATAGAAAAATAAGTGTTGAGAGAGTTTTTCCTTTTTATGGAATCTGACGCGATTCGATTTTAAATTAATCAGATCTAAATTTTAAAATATCGAGAGATTAATAAAAGAAAAAAAACTAGTCTTTCCTGTTCAACAACCACTATTTTCCATGAAAAAGGTATGTGATTCTTTATTACTTTCCATTGTGATATTAATAACAAGAATAAAATAATGACAAAATGCTTGCTTCACGATTAGATGCAGGAAATATATCATTTACTACCAACAAAATCAGTTAAAAGTTTTGTTGTACAAGGATTTATACCAAAGGTCTTTCAAACAAATCATTACCACAAATAATAGTAATAAAAGAGAAGAATCCAATTGCTTTTGGTTGGCATTTGAAATAATACGTTTTTTTCAATATTTTTTGGCCTTTCCAAGTCATCCTTCAATTGGAGTGTCTGTCTGTGCATATATATATATATATATATATATATATTCTTAGACTACAATCTGATTGACAAAAATTAATAAGGAGTTGTTTTGTTTTGTTGATTAATTTTCTTTGTAGATCGTACTACAATTGGAGGCATTGTCCTTAACTAAAGATGACGTTGTAATGATATGTGGTGAAAGCAAATTTAAGGAGAATTACTTTTTCAGTGTCAGATATCTTCAGATTGAGGCTATCTTGATGAGTCAGCTGTTTTACCAATCTGTTTTCTCTATAGATTCTCCATTTAGGGGACCTTGTTTTGAGAGCTTGTTCTTTCAGAGTTATTCCCTTAAAAAAGAGAGCTGGTTGGTGAGCAAGAGAAACGAGTAAGGCATAAATTACGCACTTGGTAGCATTTTCATATATACTTTATAGTTTTGGAACACGTGTTCGGGTCCCAAATTCCATTTCTTTAAACTGCAGCAATAGCAAATATCACATGCGTATAGATCAATTACATTTCTTGCATGTATAACTGAGGGTCCAAACATCACTCTAAGTATCATTTTCATCATAACATTTCAAACTAGTCTTAATGTAGCATTTCAATTGTACGCACAAGTACCTGAGCTCAGGATTTTTTTTTTTTTGAACAGTAATAAAATGCTACAGCAATAGAACACACCACAACCTCAAAATTATGTCAACATTTAACTAACTTTTGCATGCAGGTGACTAGTAACCAGCCAATATCAATTTCAATTCATATTTCTATTTTGTTTCATATCTGTAACATTAAACTAGTCAAAATTTACTCATTTTTTCTTTGATTTTATGCATAAAATTACTATTTCCTTCCATATTGTATGTCAATTTTATTTAGTTGTCACATTTACTAAATATAGGTATTTTTATTAGTAATCTTATTTTTTAT